TTTATTTTCTTTGCCCTCTTGAAATCATTGAAATATTCGTTTTGAAGACATCATCAACCAATTTTCTGCAGTGAAGGGCAGAAAAAAATTATGTAAAATGTATTTAATGTAAAAAGATGTAACACAAGTAAAAATTTCTATAAAAAATTATCAGTTTTCATTTGTATCTGCACAGAAAGTACTTGTACTATAATACATATTTTATTTAATACAGATGGAGCTACTTTTTCGGGGGGCGGGGGGCCAACATAATTTTGTGTTTGGGGCCCCGCGCTACTTAAATTTGGCCCTGCATTCAAGGTCACAAGTAACTGATCAGCCGAACGTACGTTTTTCTTTGTTGCTTTCAGTTTTATCTCAACATTTGAGCGTCGTTTCACTTTCAGCACTACTGTTAAAACCGAACTTTAAAGCACCCGTAGAAGCCCTAAACAGCGCCCGCTTTCGCTGTGGCTGACGAAAATAATATGTTTGGGTCACGGCGTGACTCCGGCTCTTATTCCTTATCGTAGTAGACGTGAAGGAAAAGGCCCGCTTTCGCGAGAACTCTGAATGACATGGACACGCAAGCGGAATGCAGTCGTGTTTATAAGTCAAGCGTTTAAAGCCGAGTTGACGCTTAGCTACCCGTGTCCCAGAGCATGTCGAGGCTCCGGTCCGCGCGTTTTACATATTTCTGCCCAATCCACAACTTCCTACAAATTATATGCCAAATAGTTTAATTAAAGGGTGCCACTTTCATTTGAACTGAAAACAGAATACCCTCTGTTCCCGCCACTCTTTCTTGACTTCCATTCGCCGATTACAATTGCATTGCTGTCTGCAATACATTGATTTAGTGGTTCCGGGAATGTCAAATGCAAAGGTCATTAGTCCCGTAAGTATAGTGCGCGCGTTTTCCTCGAGAGGTGGCGGTGATCTTCCCCCGCTGGATAAAGAGATCCGGCGCCGACATACCGTCGGAGTATCCCCCACCTAGCAATATCTCACCAGCCCGTACAAGCTCTAAGCTCCCGACCAGTCTCACGGCATGTGTGGTAGTGTATTGCATGTGAGTAAGGGGTGAGGATAGGGCAAGGAATGGAAAGAAAATATCGCGCGCGGTGCGTGGCCTGCTTGTTAGGGCAAAGACCCCACCTCGATCAGGTTTATCGCCCAGTTTCCATGACCCTTTGAGCAAATGCTGTGGTGGTCCCTTGTGTTGCTACTGGACGTAAATGTAACTTCATTATCTGAGCACGTCTTCTAAAATTTTTTAGCAAACTAGTTATTCGATTATCGTTTAAAAATTATGTTGTCGCGGCATGAAGTATTATCCTCCAATGAAGAACATGAGAGATAAGAGCCTAAATCTATAGCTGCAATCCTTGCAAAAAACGCACATTTCTTTTTGTATTCAAAATTCAACTAGTTTATGGCTTAGGCTAGGGATCACAAAATTATTAAACGTGCATAGAATTAATTTCTCCCCGTAGCACGTCACACACACACACACACACACACACACACACACACACACACACACAGTTTAACTATTTTGACGTAAAATAAATAAATAAATTAATTGATCGATAGGGCTGCTCCGGCATTCGCATGATATTGACAGGAGCAACCACAGAAAACTACAAATCAGAGCAGCCGGCCGCTAGAATTCCCCTCCAGACAGCGACTGAATACGACCTAGCTAACAAGTTTGTGTCGAAAATCCTGCCACCGTCGGGACTTAAACG